TGTTGCAGTCGTTACAGGATTATCCTCTGTGTGTGTGTGTGTGTGTGTGTGTGTGTGTGTGTGTGGTGTTGGGTGGATCCTCTTTTCTCTGTTTCGAGCGCTGATTTAAAAAAAAAACGGGGGAAAAAAAGATTTTTTTTTGCACAAGACAGAGCCAAACTCCAGAACATCAAAGACACGAATGGAGGAGGAGGAGGAGGAGGAGTGACGGATTGAAGGAGGGAGGGGTATGCCCTGTATCCGGGTAATGACGAGGGGGGGGCTGGTGAGAAAGAACCATCCATAGAAGGAGAGAGAGGACGTGGAGCGAAGGATGGAGAGGCTGTCGGACCAGAGAGACAGAAGTGTTACTACAGATCTGCTGCTGCAGGAGGAGGAGGAGGAGGAGGAGGAGGAGGACAGGCTGGGAGCTGAGGACGATGAAGATGATGCTCCGTTCTTCAGCGGCGCACGGGACCAACTGTAATTCCTTCATCTGGTGATCGTTGGTGAAGGAGGAAGGCTCCTTTTTTTTGTCCCTCTTTTTTTGCATCTGGCAACCGCTGGCCGGGTTCTCCTCGCTGCTCCTCCTCTTTTCTACACTTTTGCCTCCTTTTTCTTTTTTTTATGTCCAGAGAAGGGATTCCTCTCCTTCATCAGGGATTTTAGAAGACAGTAAGAATGCTTTGTTTTCCTGCATGCCAACAGGACGGTGCACAGCAGAGCAGTGTGTTTGATGAAGGGATGGTGTCGATCTGTGTGTGTCTGTGTGTCTGTGTGTGTGTGTGTGTCTGTGTGTGTGTGTGTGTCTGTGTGTCTGTGTGTGTGTGTGTGTCTGTGTGTGTGTGCAGCAGGAGGTGGGAGGTGGCTTTGCATGTTCAAGTTTACTGCATTGATGAGCGTTGGTTCCTCCGTCACGTGGCCGTCCGCTCGGCAGCGATTCTGCGTGAAAGGAAATAAAATATTGAGTAAAAGTGAAAACATAAAAAACCACGATGAACTGAACATTTGGATTATTTTTCTGCTTAAATGATCTTTTCAAGCTTCACACGTGCAGAAAAATAAAAAAAAAATGACACGAATATTAAAAACTCAGCATTTATCACACGCTTCTTAAATCTTAGATTTATGGGATCAAACTGTGAATCACACCCACACAGGTAAATCTACCTTTAGTTGAAGAAAAACCCACAAAAATCAGTTAATGATAACCAGTCCTTCCTATAAAATAATAAAACTGAAACTAATGTAACCTCAGGGACGCGTTAAGCTCAGGTGTGTCCTGTAAGACACAGGTAGTCACAGGGCTGTTTGGGATCGTGATGTGTAACACAGAAAGCGGAGTCTCAGGAGCTACAATCATCTCCAAGCAGCTCCGTGTTCCTCCGACCACAGCTGCTCAGGTTATTCAGAAGGTCCACAGGACTGGAGACAACCTCCCTGGACATGTCCACAAGAGGACAGCCAAAGACAAACTGAAGGGACGGATGAAACAAAGAGCTTAAAGACGAACTCCAAGGTCGTCGGTGTCGGACCGAACCATCAGCCTCTGTTTGAGACAAAGTGGACTTAAAGGGATCCACGATTAGTTGTAACAAACTTTATTTAAGAAACATTTATTTTATCTGTAAAATAAAGACTGTAAAAATACTGTAGGATGTTTAGTTTTGTAAATTTTTTAATTTATATTTTAACACGGACGGAGCCATTTTATTTCCACACAAAGCATTCTGGGTAAATGATGACGTGGATAGGTCCTCGGTGCGAGGCTGCTAGCGAGCTATATCCACCCTGAAGGTTAATCTTGGACAATATCTGATGATCGACTCTTTTAAATGAAACCGAAATGTCGCGATATCTCAGTGTATCGATACTTTCTTAACACAGTTAAGAAAATAGTTATAGTTAGCATGCTAAC